TCCGATCCATAGGCTAGAGATTGCGCGGAGATGTGTGTGACCATATGTGTGTGTGTGTGTGTGTAGGGGAGGAGAAAGGGGCGAGGGAGGGGGAGGGCGGGTGTGTTCGCGGCCACCTGCCCCCGCGCCAATCTGGGTGACGCGCCGGCCGCGCAGTAATGGATTGAAGCCGGTCCTCCCGCCAGGAGCAGCGCACATGCATATAGCAGGCGCACAGGTCACGTCGCCCCGTGCCCCCTTCCCACTCCCTCCTTCGCGCCTGGCGGCCCGCAACCTCTGTGGACTCTGGCGCATACGCACTAAAAGGGGCTAACGTAGTAAGATCAATTAATGAGTTCCATTGATTGTAGCGCACAGCATGTTTACAAAGAAACGTCAATGCGAATGCATTTTGAAAAATGGTCCAGGCATACATGCTGTTGGGTGCCCTTCTTACAAGGCGGCCGTTTAATACAACTATATATTTGGAAAAAATGAAAAAAAATAACACACATCAGTAATGCGAGAAGAGTTTCATTTGTGCTAAATGTCAAATTATATGAAAGACGAAACAACTACCCTCTTTCTCAGCTTAGCCACGCGTTTCCACTTCTTCCTGTAGCATAACTGCTGACTTTCTTCTTAAATCAGAAAACATAAGAAAAGTTTCTACGATTACGACACCCATTCTAAGTTTCGCACTACTCGTCTTAATGACAAATGTAATGAAAAGAACCTTGGAACCACTACAATGAGATAGAAACTTGACTAGGCATTGTCATACAAAGGAGAAAACCCCAGAAATAGACGGCATTTACGAAAAATTGGCACATTCATAGAAATAAATAGTGTCCACACAGTTTACGGCGACACACACCACAGATCAATGCAATAAAACATGGAGAGATATCAAGCAAGTATGTACAGTCATTCACGCACGAACATTGAAGGGGACAAAGGCTTTTGTTCCATCAAAACGGGAAAGACACGCAATGATGAGTACAAAGAGCTACGAGGAATTATAAATGGAACAAAGTCGGATCAACATTTTCGGAGCGAGAAAAAGAAGTACACAAGTGAGACAAATTAGTGCAAAAGTGAGTTTCAGCAGAAAAGAACACTAAAACCAGTTTGGAAAGTGAGAATCAGGGCGAGAGCACGAAGGTCAGGACTAATGGCGAAAGGACAATGCCATGCGAAGAGAGGAGGAGAGAGTAGAGGAGATTAAGCGAAGCGAAAGGAGAGACGCGAGGCAAGACAAGGCCAGATGCGAAGGGAAAGGAGAGACGACACGAAAGACGTGGCGAAGGGAGATGCGAGAGGAGAAGAGAGGAGAGGAAAGACGACAGAAGCGAGGAGAGGCGAACGGTCAGAAGATGGAGTGGAGAAGTGGCGTGAGGGGAGCGAGAGGGGGAGAACGGAGGTGAGACAGGGGCGATGCGGTGGGATGAGGTGCGGAGGCACAGGCCGGGGGAGGTGGACGGCGCGCCAGGGGGAGACTGGGTGGGCGACAGGTGCTGAGGGTCGCAACATCCATTAGCCAGACACGGGCGCCACCTAAATATTTGATGCCGCAACCTCCCCGCCCTCTTCCGACCCGCAGCCGGAGGCGATCGCGGGCGTCGTTGCATTCCACTGCGCGGCCGCCGCCCGGGACCCTCGCTGACGCCCACGCCCACGCCCGCGCCCGCGCCCGCGCCCGCGTTCCCGCGCCCGCGCCGCGCCCGCCGCCGCGCCCGCGCCCGCGCCCGCGCCCGCGCCCGCGCCCGCGGCTGCTGCCTTTCCCGCAAACCGCTATTGCCTCGCGCGCGTCGAGCGCCGGCCGCCCCGGCGCCGCCGTTCTGCGCACCCGGACGCGCAAGGCGCCGAGCGGAAGCGGTAACCAAAGGGCGCGCCCGGACTGGCCGCCGGTTGGCTCCAAGTCACGGGCAACGCTAAGCGAGGCGCGAGGGACGTGCGCTTTTCTGTCCGGAGGAGGGTGGCTGAGTTTCCCTCTTTCCACGTCGTGTCACCGGAAAACGTAAAGTGAAAAAAAAAAAGGCGACCGGTTTCGCGGCGCTGAAGCGGCGTGGAGCGGCGTGGAGCGGAGCAGAGCAGCACGAGGCCGCCTTTCTCCGGCTACGTGCTCCCGCGCCCGCCCGGCCCCTCCCCAGCCAGGGGCCTCTGCTTCATTCGCCATCGGAGAACCATGATGCTCTGCTCGCCACCTCAGGGTCCACGGCTTTCAATCCATGACACACTATTCGTAAAGAATAGACGCAATTTGGCTAGTGATAATCGTTCACAGCATTCATAACGATTTTTCCTCGCCCAGTTTTTACCTTTACCGTTAACGTAATGACTAAAATCGCCCAATATTGTGCAGTAGAGTATTGTCGAGTATTTCATTATTATGTGAGACTGACAAAACGCAGATACCACTCGTGGGAAAGAATTATCAAACTCTTAGGACATTTCTCAGTCGTTGATGCCTAAACATCTGGTTCACAGCAATGAGATGGTTTGTCTCGTGGAAGAATTCTGAAATTTCGTAGTATCACTGACCTAGTTCGTCTCTACGTCGCGCGGCATTTCTCTTACACCGACCAACCATACGAAATGTCCAACACTATCTTCATTTCAATGACATTACTGAAATTCCCTAAATGACAAGAACAGTGACGATGAGAATGACAGGCGGGCGGGATGTCATGGCATGGCATGGCGGGCGGGACATTTTCGTTCGTTTCGAGTTATAGAAAACTTATTTGCAACGGTAAACGACCTGCAAATATGATTTTTCTGCATTGCTAACAAAATAGTAACTCGCCCGTACCTCTACTCCTACCACTACAAACCAAACGAGAGTTCAACAAAATGTGCGCATAGTGAAGCTACATTTACGACCAAAAGCAAAACAAGGAGCCATCTTTGCTCAATGTATTTGGGTAACTGGATAAAAACCTGATTGCGAACAAGCATGTTAGGTCTATTAAAAAAATATACAATACAAATGTAAACTAATTAATTATGTATCACTGTTTTGTTAAAATAAATATATTTTTTTTCTTTTTGATGATCAATATAGTCTCTAATTGTAACGACGTAACGAGCTGCATTAAGCCTGTCAGAATTTGAAAGAATACTAAATCCGTTATACATTCCGTTTGAGGTTTGAATGAAGACCTAGAAATTCTGTTACAATCCGCTTGAAATGTTAAAAAGACATCGAAACTGTTTTCCCTTCATTAATTACATATTTGTTATTACAAAACCAATTTGAAACTTCTGAATTCGTATTATTTATTGTCTTTTTTTCCAAAGAACATTCGTGCCATAGACAAACAGAACAGTTCTTCCGAATTATAAAAGACGAGAGCATATCTATTATGTATAACAGAAAGAGTATAGGACCTAACATTGAACCTTGTGGGTCCACATATTGAATTAGTAAATATTTTTTTTTAAAAAAAAAGGAAATAATATCCTTTCGTGCCAGTACGGTATTTCTACTCTTTGAGATCGATATTTAAGGTATGAGATTATCCAATTTAGGGCGATACCACAAATTCCATAAGAAGGTAATTTTGACTGCAAGATGTTATGTCAATAACATGAAAAGCTTTTGAAAGATCTAAAAATATTCTAATGAGTGCTTGATTTTGGTCCATTGATGAAGCAATATCTTTAAGAAAAAAATGGCAGTTTCTGTAGAATTGGTTTTCTAAACCCGTGTTAGGAGGCTGAGAACGCTTCGTTTTCGTGAGTAGTTTCTCTACGTGTATAGAAAAGCCTCTCTAAGGTTTTTTTAGAAAGAGAAACTGGTACGTAATTTTCAATTTAATTTTTGTATTTTTTTTAAGTGGCTTAATTTTTGCATTTTTCAAAATATCTGGGAATATTCCTCTGTACAAAAACGCATTGAAAACGTGAGTTAACGAGTGTATAAAGGCAGGCACACAAGTTTTCAATAAACAATCCGGAAATTAATCTAAACTAGATGAATATTTAATTTTTAGTTTACTGACTATTCTCAGGATTTCGTTAGAAGTTAATAAACATGGTGTCGATTTGGGGGGGGGGAGGGAATAAAGTTGAATTTTGTGGTTTTAGTTCCATCGTGGGTTCAGCCGCAATACTAAAAAAGTGTTGGTTAAAGAGATATGCCGTCATGCTTCTCTTCTAAATATACTCAACAAGTAACGAAATGATGCCGTCGTATTTTTTACGATATTCCATATTGCTGTAGTTTTGTTACTGGAGATCAAAATATCCTGATTATGTTTCATTATTTTTGCCTGAACTATTATTTTACTTAAAATTGTTTTGTATTCTCGGAAGTAGACATGGAAAACCGGTGATGCGTTATGTTTAGAAATTATGTAAAGCGTACGTTTGTTTTTACACGATGTTCTAAGTCCTGATGATCCAAGTATTATTTTTCCGTGAAATGTTTAATTTTCACTTTTTGAGAGGAAAGCATGCGTTTTAGAGAAATGAAATCGTTGAGAAAAAGAGATACTATTTTTCATTTGTGTCATAGTAAAACAATGCGCAGGAAGGCAACAGTTAGCGTGGGGGTGGAGTTTGAACCTGCATGCGAAATGGGTGGGCTAGGCATTTACATTTATTCTTCCACTTCTGCGGGAGGGTAGTCCCTAGATACAGAGAGTAGCGTATTCCTTTGTACCGCCGAATCCGCCATTTTATCTTCAGCGATCGGGCAAGTTCGAACTGTGCGGTATTGTGCGTGTTAGGAACAACCAATCTATCCAAAACCAATTTTCCTATCGATGAAAGTCTCAATCATGCATTCAGTTGTTCACTTCCACTGCTGAATACTGGCCCTTGGGTGCCATCGGGCGAAAGGATATTAAACGGCAGAGGTTTCACTGCTCTCTGTCTGGGATTCTATCGGTGAGAGGAGGCGAGCGTCCTTCTCGCCCTTTGTGCCTCCGTCCCTCAGGCTCCGCAGGCCCCTCCTCATCCCTCCGGCCGCACCAGTCACCGGGGGGGAGCAGCCCGCCCTGCGGCGGCATCACCTAGCGGTCTTCAACCTCGATGCTGCCTCTGCACGCTGCCTGCTCCCCGTCCTGCCCGGCCTGCCCCTCGCCCCCGCGGTGCTCCGTGCTCCTCGGTCTTCGCGCCACGCGGCGCGCGGGCCAGCGGCGTTGCCGATTGCTCACCGTCGCTGGGGCGCCGCCGCCGCCGCTACCTCCGGCGGTGTGGAGACGGCGGATGTGCAGCTGTACCATTGCGTCCGAATCGTAGCACTAGTGGCACCGGATGCACGGAGATGAGCTACCGTCAGTCACGAGTACTTCGACCCCCCCCCATGACTCGTGTTCAATTTTTCTGTTCGGTGAATCTCAAAGGATAAGCGATCCAAAAAATAAAATACGGTGATTCATAATTCAGTTCAAAAACATAATCATAATCAGTTCAAAAACATTAAACTTACTACTCCGTTTATTGCTTAATGATTTGTATGTAAAAATAAAATAATTCGATGTAATGACTTGTATAAATGGAAAATTGAATGTTCGGATTTAACACACATTCCCATGTGTCTACAAGTATACTAAAAGTATGGTATTTTGTTTTCCGGCAGAAAAATACTCTGCAACATAATCAATATGAATCAATGCATTGCAACAACAATCAGTCGCATAATAAACGTATGTTTTGAACAACTCTTCGGATGTATGGAACAAACAATTCGAATGGTCTCGCAATCCCATGTTGTTTGATGAAGAAAAAATTATAAAAATAAGGCTTTCTCAAAAGAAACTGAGAGGTTGGCTATTTCTCTAATAATCTACGGATCAGAGTAATTGTACACGCAAAAAAAGTAATACATGGATGACAAACCCGCTCAAATAGCTCTAGCAAGTGTCCCAGTATGGTACAATGTTATTGATACGTTAAGAAGCCTTTGGACAATGCTGCATGAGGAACAGTGATGATGGTTACAGTTACGTTTATGTTTTTTCGGTGTGATTGAATTATTTGTAAAGAGACCCAATTTGCAGAAGAAACTATTATTGCTACAACATAGTACAAGTTTTCTCGTATTATTTGTAACGGTTACAAAATCAGTGGATCATGAAATATCGGTGCCAAAAATGTGCAGAAGCAAGTCTCAAATTTAAATAAATTTCAACACTTATCTTCCGGTATGCCTTCTCGTCTCCTTTGTACATTCTTGTACACGCACTCCGTATATGGAAAATACTGCAATGCTGCAGAAGATCGGATTTTTTGACACATGATTTTTGGTGTCCTTAACAGCGAACCAGTTTTTTATAAAATTCTTATTTGTTAACAACACCAATGTCTAACAGATGCAAAGGATTTCACCAAACTAAATATTCCATCGACCTGGAACATGTCACGGCCCAATTTTCTGAGAAAATTATTTCAATATGTTTGTAACATTGTAGCGATTTCACTGATTTATTTATTTATTTATTTATTTTTGCGAAAATCACCAATATTAAGACAAACTGCATCGCAAATAATTTTAAAACCAAAAAATACAAGAATATATTGCATAACGAAATAAATCTCGAGCTTCAATATAAAAGAAAAAAGTTCGAAAAAAATTTTAATTCTGTATTGTAAATGACGAACATTGTCTTGCATTAGTGACTGTCGTTTTTGCTGAGAGAAAAATCTATATATTTTTATGTGAATTTCTATGAGAATAGCATTATTTCTAAAAAGTATTAGATGAGCTATGGAATGTTACGTTACGGGTAATATAACTTGCAGCAATCTAAACACATAAAAGTAATTTCGCAACATTTCTGAATCCTTTGACTACTTCATCAAACCACAGACGCCATAAAGGTCACCGATGCCACACACGCCCGGAAAGAAACTGCACCACCAACGCTAACTTTGCGATATATTTAAAGACTGCACATATTATGGCTACACCTAACAGGAAATAGAAACGTTCACTAGGAAAATGTCAAATACATTCATAATTTATGTAGATGCGAAATGCTAAATACATTCGTAAGAAATACTCACCCAGCTATGCGCTGTTACAACATCGGTTGTGTCTTGGTCCAGCGTATCTTTCCGCCGCTTTCCCGCAGGGCCTGTAAATGCGAACACATTGCATATTATGATGCATCATTAACCATGGATCAACTGAGATACAAAGTTCGAAATAGGTGTAACGAACAACACAGATCTTCATACACATCTCTTTGTATGTTACTGTGAGACTACTACAGACTGAGTTACTACCAAGTATTCCGAATTGACAGAGCTTCATAGAGAACATAAACATGGCTCTTCCTTATAATAAGAATTAAAACATTTCTTGTCCTCCTGTACTGTACCACTGTTGGCAGTCAACAATGAAGTACGTGTAAGTGGGAGATGATCCTGCTTTTGGTTGGAGGGATGCGGCTTTTCACTCGTGCGAGCTCTAAGAGATTAAGTAATGCTTTACAACTTTAGATCAAGGGCTGTCAAGGTCGTCGACTGACCAGGACTGTCACACTATCCTTAGCATAATGGAGGAATGATGGCGATGGCGGGGAAACAAGTAAGAGCAATGGAAAAGGGGTTTGAAACACATGCACGATGACTACAGTGATCTCGCTTTCTTGGGTGAAGATCTATAAAGAATGATTGGATATCAACCAGCTCTCTGTGCAAGAATCACTGGGCGACCTGCCCGTCAATTTTGTCCAGGATGGAAGCACAGCTATTTTGATAGAAAGTTAAGGGAATTCTACAATGCAACGTAACGTGCACGCAGACAGTTACAATAAAAGTGTTCCCCATTAATGCAGGTGGGTGCACTACCTATTTTAAAATCGGATTATGAAACTTCGACAGATTTCCGCATTTCCTGGAAACGGGTCTGCAAACGAGAGGGCCCAGAACCCCTCCCCCCCAAGCCACTGCGCCATTTGTGTAGGACACCTATGACGTCAGCCGTGCCCCAATGTCACAAGCATCGCCTTAAAGCTTCGATGCTCCTCTCGACAGGAGCGCTTTCCACCAGATATTCAATTCCGCTCGCACGAGCGTGTACCTGCGACTTGGCAACATTTGCCGTTCACAACAATGTGGTTCACAACACATCCGAGCTGCAGAAGAAAATAAACACTGTCAAAAGATACCATCGTGAAGTAAACTACCCTAATTATTATTATTATTATTATCATCATTATCATTATTATTATTACTATTATTATTATTCCTCTTTATCATGAATAAAGATGTTATGGGCAAGTTGAATATAACATCTACTCCAGGTTGCAACCAATTACCTAAGGAGTAGATATCGATAGCAGTACTGTCGGTACCTTTACACTAATTGGCGCAAATTTGGGCTGTTCCATATAAAGAAATTTCTTACACTTCCGAGTCTTATGAATGACCTGGGAGTTTAGCCACGTTCTTCCACAAATTTTGCGGAACAAATCCCAGAGCTCCCATGACAATCGGTACGACCTCTGCTATTACGCCCACATGCGACCGATATCGATTTCCAAACTCTTGTATTTAAGAAATATCCCTGCCTCCTTGGTTACGACGTTTTGATCGCAAGGTACAGCAATATTACAAGTAGACATTTTTTTCTGCAAAATCCGGATAACAATATGCGGCTTGTTTGCCGCTATAGTGCGATTCGTTTGAATGTTCTAGTCGTACAATATTGTATAGTGTCCAACAAATGTCACCGTTTTTGGACAATGTTTGTGCCATTTGGCGCATGTCTTTGGAACTTCGAGGGCGGTACAGATCTGCCAGCGAAGGTAACTACACACTCTGTCGTGTCTTTTCAAGTATTCGGCCTTTGCTATAATTAGACAAAATGAGACATTGATGATATCATCAATCGTTTCTACTTATTCCTGGCAAATGCGGCATTTATCATCTTGGGAAAGTTTGAGTACCGCTTTATGATAATGTGTTCTCAACGTCTGATCATGGACAACTATTAGCACTGCTTTCGATTCTGGCTTCATTCTTCCCCTTTTAGGGCCTATAAATGATTGATCTTTTTTGATCTGCATCTTGTACATTCTGTTGAGACACTGTCCATGGAGTGGTTTCTCTGCACGATTTGTTCAACATTTGTGTTTCGCACATTTCACGCCACCCTCCTCCGCCCAAGAGCGACGACGCGCCAGATGCGCGCGCGGAGCAAGGAGGAAAAATTCACCCGTGCTGATGTGCTGGCTGTCCCGCTACTCAACGATCCTTACGCTCGGATCTTTAAAAAGAAGACATCTCCAAATCTATCTCGCTCACACAATCATTGCTACATGCCAAAGTTAAGCTTTATACAAAAGTAAAATGTGAAAATATGATTTTTTTATAATTTCATATAAGGAGGGTCCGTTCTATATTTTACGAAATTTTGATTTAGTAGAAAATAAAAGAACACATAGATATAATTTTTAAAACGAGGAAAGATTTTTTCAGAAACGTAAGCTTATGTACACGTAAGATTCCACGGTTCAAATTCATGAATTCTTGGCTATCCGGTTAACGACTGTCATCGCTACCCTGAGGAAGACTGCGACAAGACAGGCGAAACGTCAATCTCTCAGCCAATGACGAAGCGTCAACCGGACAGACAAGAAGTCAACGACAAGATCTTGTTGATGATAAATGTAAAACACCATTGAGGGCTTAAATTCAGAAACGAACTGGTGCCTGGCATGAGGAAAAAACATACTTCTAAAATGTTTCCAGCTTCAGTCATTTGAGAAGGGATCAGTTTACTAAGTCTTCAAAATGCAGAGAATAAGGAAAATTAGTCTCCCTCCGCCCACAATCCTATCTTCCGAACGTCAAGGCAATGTGCGAGTCACCGTGCTAGGAGGCCCTCACACAGAGACTGCGCCTTGGCCAATGTCCAGGCAGAGCCCTAGCAACGGTCGTGTACCAACACCCTCTGCAGACGCCTGGCCTTAATCGCCCCTCAGATGTTTACCCGCTGACCGAGGGAGGGGGCGTTGGAGGCGACATCGGGGGCAGAAGGGGCGGCGCGAGGTGCGGGACGCGGAACTGCAGAAGACGTTCCAGGGCACCTAGCCGCAGCGAGGTTCGCCGCTCCCCGCCCCGCGCCCTCCCCCGGACACATCTCTCAGCCACTCCCTCGCGGGCACCGCACGAAAAATCGCGCGTGGCAGTGACTGAGTCCTGCGGAGGGCGGGGCTCCGCGAGCGCAGCCAGGCACCGCAACGCGCGATGCGAACGCGTGCGGGCGAAGGTACCAATATTCCAGACTCTCACTTCGCCAGCTGACGGGCAAAACGACGGTCGTTACTAGGTTCTGAGCTATAACGCGTCTTCCACGCCCGACGCACGGGAAAGGGTCGAAGATGTTGATCTACGGTTCTCAACGTGTCAGCAAAGAATTACGGGAAGGACGAAGAATGTTTTATACCAATCGAACGGACAAAAAAAATTGCTAAAC